TAGAGCAGTATTCGAATATTTTCGCATTTGAAAAAAAATACAAACAATAATGAATTTTAAAAATTGTGTTATGCTTTTATACGTGTTTGTTCATTTGTATACATCAAACGCAAAAATTCGCAAAAATCCAAAGGTAATTTTACATTTTGTCTTTTTAATTGAAGGCACATGAATTCTAAAATAGTAGTATTCCATTGTTTATTAAAAATAGATATTTCATATTTATAGAAACTAGGCGAACTATATAGAAGGATTTCAGAGAAATATCCAACTGTTCATATTTTTCAAGTAATGGATTATATAGAACAAAACCCAAAAGTGCGCAAGGAATTTGGAATTACTGGACGGGATGATGATAAGATATTAAGAACCGGGTGGACTACGTTGAATAATAATAACGCATTAATAGATATTGTAAAATAAATACATGTGAAATGTGAGTATTTATACTATTATGAATAAGGTATCTGGGGTAAAATAAAAAAATAAAAAAATGCAGAATGTAAAGGTATTTGGATAAGAAAAGCTATATAAATATATATTAAACGCTTTTATCTTGTTTTTTTACAAATTGTGTTAGAATGTTAAACGTTTTACAACAGTTACACTAATTGTAAGAACTATTGAAATATTCATTTTATGACATTCCTTAGGAATATTTTTTGTTAACGCGATTGTAGTTTGTTTGAAAACTGAACAAGCGGACAAATATAATTATTGCTCTTATGTGATTTTGATGTGTAGTACCCTTAATTACCAAATATTATTCATAGAAACGCAATAATAATAATTGTAACCACTCCATCCGTTATAGCATAATTAAGCTTGGTAAATTTTAAAATGAGTACTTTTATAATGATTTCTAGTCCACACAATGTCGGAAGAGCAATTTGTAGCATTAATAACATCAAAATTTAATAATTATGTAATTATGATTTTTTTCTATCCTAATATATGATATATTTAAAAAAAAAAAATATATAATAATTAAATACTCTATAAGTTTAGTGAATAATATAATAGTTATAATTCTAGATTAATTATTTCTATAATAGTAGTATTCACATTGTGTATAAAAATCAGAAATTTTATGATTTTAGCAACTCGGAAAAATGTATGATAAAATCGCTAAAGCTGTAAAGGATAATATCCTAGTAACCAAGGAAAGAGTTAAATGGTTTTTACTGAAGAAACGACTTATATATAGACTAAGTGCAAAGGAAATCGAAGCGTTAACTAAACCAATGAAGGGTAAAACGCTTTTATCTTTTTTTCAACGAAATCTGTTACAAAACTATTTTATGACAGTTAGACTGATTTTAATTTATATTGAAATAATCATTTAATGACATTGCTCATAATGTGTTTTTTATACACGATTTTCAATGATTTAAAAACCAAACAAGTGGACAGACAAAATTTTTGATTTTATATGGCTTGTCATAATACCCGTTATTTGGCCATTGTATATAAAAACGCAATAATAATAATTGCAACAGCTCAAACTGTTACAGCATTGTATAGTTTGATAAGTTTTAATGTGAATACCTTTTAAATGATTTCTAGATGATGCTATGACATTTGGCGAATTTCGTAGATTCATGGTTTTCAAAAAATAATGTATTCGCTTCAAGACCAACCGGTGGTAGATTTAAACACTTGCAGCCTCCAGGCAAGTAATATGTTCACCGTTACAAAATTTTTGTTTCTTTCCCAAATAAAGGACATAACATTTTATATATTGCAATATTATGGCATTGTAAATTTATTTTTATATCAAAATTTCAGGCCTATAAATTTACTACAATATTCTATCGCCGTTCGCTGTAATTAAAAATTCAAACTTTTTAAAGTATTTAATTTAAGTTTATTTAAATAAATATTCAAGGTTTATGTACTAATTCATATTTAAAGGGTGCGTGTTTTTTTTCGTTTTTATCAATTATATGGGTAATTTGTAAATGTTATTATTAAATATTATAAAAATGTTTAAATAACTAGTTTCCAGCTTATTCAAAATATAATTTAACCTTAGCTGCTATGTCTTTTCTGATAGTAAAAATATACATATCCAAATAAATGTTGCATTTACTTTTGAGTTGAGTGTAGTATCGTTTTTTACGTACGTTTTTTATAGTGATACAAAATAATGTAAATTTTATGATGTTATATATAACAATGCTGTATATAATAATGTAAGTCTAGAAACAAATAAAATGTCTTATCGACCAAAATAAGTGTTTCTATCTAAAATATAATTTTTAAGAATTTTAAAACATTGTCATCAACAACGTTATCACGATATTGAGTGGATCACTCTATTACTATAATATTGTTTTCTTTACACTCAATATAAACTCTATATAATCTTTGAAAATCAAATTCAATCCTATGAAATGTCTGATTATGATTTTATAGATAACAGCTATAAATTGAAATAATAAATATTTAGTGACAGTTTACATTTACAAAAAAAAAAATAAGGTAATTTTTTGTAAAAATTGTGTCGGTGAATATTATTTTGTTGTATCTTTCTCATTATGTGACTAACATAGTACCACACTATTGATCAAAGAGATTATGTTTAAGATTTGCTTTATTCGTTAAAAAAAAGATATTTATAAAAGTAAAAATAAAATCAATGATTCTTTGCTTAATTTAAATATGTTTACCAGTTTAATCATAAGAAAGAAACCTAATACAAATAATAAAACGTCTAAAATAATAATATCAATGTGGATAAGATTTGAAAAAAAATCATTTTCCTATATCAAGGTTTTGTAAACAGGTATTAAATATATTTTTTGTTTTTGAGGCTGAAGCCACGATTATAAAAATCAATATGAAATTTCAACATTTATTGATAATTGAGTAAAAGAGTCATTCAGTAATCATGTATACAACAATATAAAGTCGGTTTTTAAAGTGTTAAAAAAAAAGGTCGTCAAAAACCGAAATCTATTAATATAATATCAAATTCGTTGTATTGACGAAACTCGTTTGGGGTAAATTAAGATGGAAAATTCTGAGAGACAAATGCCTCTCATAGATTTAAAAATTGTAGTACATAAGCAAAAAAAAATTTGTACGATTAATGTTCAAATAATAACATGTTTTCATACTATACTAAAAAATATAAAGTTAAACTAAATACGAATTTATCGGTTTAAAGCGATACCAAAATATATTTTTAGGTGTTATATTAAATAATGGAAGTTTTGGCTATATAAAATTTTCGATTCTGGCTTGAAACAAATAAAATCGACCAAAATACAAAATTATAGTTCTTTTGTTGTAATATTTTGGTTGTTTTACAACCGTTGTGGTTTATTTATGATCCAAGGGGTTTTATCTGAACTGTTATTTGTTAAAAATTAAAAACATTGTCATTATCAAAGGTTGTTTATGATGTAAAAACTTTAATAATACTATTATATAAATAAATTTCAAATATATTGATTGCGCAATTATTAAACTAGTCACTTAGTCTATTATTAATTAAACCCTAAAAATAAAATCCAGGATACCTAACTTAGCTTGGGTAAGAGCACCAGTGTAATCATATAAAATAATCACAATACAAATAATAGAACGTCTAAAATAATAATATCAATATGGGAGTGATTTGAAAATCAAAAATTATTCTATAAAGCATTTAGCTTACAACAATTTGTTGTGTTTGTCAAGCAGCAAAACAACTACTATTTGTTTACGATTCGTAGGCTAAAGCCATGCTTATTTATTTTAGAATTGAATTTTAAAATAAATCGAACAAACAAAATACATATTCGCTTATACAAATTTTATAAGCTTTACACTGAATTCACTATAACAGAAGGCATTAAACGAAGAAGAATCATTTAAGTTATAAACACGGCAGAACAGTATTCGAATACTTTGGCATTTAAAAAAAAACACAAAATAATGAATTTAAAAAATTGTATTGTGCTTTTACATTTGTTTGTTCATTTGTATACAGCAAACGCAGGAATTCGCAACAATCCACAGGTAATTTTACATTTTTTTCTTTTTTATTGAAGGCACATTCATTTTAAAACAGTAGTATTCACATTTTTTATTAAAAATAGATACTTGATATTTATAGAAACTAGGCGAACTATATAGAGAGATTTCATTTAAAGTCCCAAAAGTTTTTATGTATATAGTAAGAGACTATATAGAAAAACCAGACGTGTACAAGAAATTTGGAATTACTGGACGGGATGAAAAAAGGATATTAGGAACCCGTTGGAGTACGTTGAATAATAATAACTCATTAATAGATATTGTAAAATAAATACATGTGAAATGTGAGTATTTATACTATTATGAATACGGCGTCTGGGTCAAAATTTAAAAAAAAATGCAGAATGCGTCTGTAAAGATAATTGGGTGAAAAAAGTTATTATAAAAATACAAAACGCTTTTTCTTGTTTCTTACAAGTCGTGTTAGAATGTTAAACGTATTATAACACTTACACTAACAGTAACAATTATTGAAATATTCATTTTACGACATTCCCTAGAAATTTTTTTTCATCGCGATTGTAGTTTGTTTGAAAACTGAACAAGTGGGCAAATACAATTATTGCTCTTAAGTGATTTTGATGTGTAGTATCCTTAATTACCAAATATTATTCATAAAAACACAATAATAATAAATGTAACCACTCCATCCGTTACAACATATTTTGGTTTGATACAATTTAATATGAGTACTTTTATAATGATTTCTAGCTAAAGAAATGTCGGAAGAGCAATTTGTAGCATTAGTAACATCAAAATTTAGTTATTGGGTAATTATGATTTTTTTCGATCCTAATATATGATATATTTAAAAAAAAAAATTATAATAATTAAATACTCTATAAGTTTAGTGAATAATATAATAGTAATAATTCTAGATTAATTATTTCTATAATAGTAGTTTTCACATTGTGTCTTAAAAACAGAAATTTTATGATTTCAGCAACTCGAAAAAATGTATATTAAAATCTCAAAAGCTGTAAAGTATGATTTCCTAGTAACTAAGGAAACAGTTAAAAGTTTTTTAATGAAGAAACGACTCCTATATAGACTAAGTGCAAAGGAAATCGAAGCGTTAACTAAACCAATGAAGGGTAAAACGCTTTTATCTTTTTTTTCAACGAAATCTGTTACAAAACTATTTTATGACAGTTAGACTGATTTTAATTTATATTGGAATATTAATTTAATGACATTGCTCATGATGTATTTTTTCGACACGATTTTAAATGATTTAAAAACCAAGCAATTGGACAGACACAATTATTGATTTTATATGGCTTGTCATAACACCCGTTATTTAGCCATTGTATATAAAAACGCAACAATAATAATTGCAACAGCTCAAACTGTTACAGCATTATATATTTTGATAAATTTTAATGTGAATACTTTTTAAATGATTTCTAGATGATGCTATGAATTTTAGACAGTTTCAAAATTTTATGGTTTTCAAAGAAAATCATTTATTATATACAGATATATAACACCAGCCGGTGGTAGATTTAAACGTTTACAGGACCCAGGTAAGTAATATGTTCACTCTCACCCTTTTTTTGTTTCTTCCCCAACTGAAGGATATAACATTTTATATCATTTTACATATTGCATTATTATTGCATTGTAAATTTGTTTTTATATCAATATTTCAGGGCTATAAATTTACTACAACATTCTATTGCCGTTCGCTGTAGTCAAAAAGTCAAATTTATTAAAGTATTCAATTAAGTTTATTTAAATAAAAATTCAAGGTTTATGTATTAATTCTTAAAACTCTAAGGGGTGTGTGTTTTTTTTTTGTTTTAATCAATTATATGGGTATTTTGTAAATGTTATTATTAAATATTATTAAAATGTTAAATAACTTGTTTTCTGCATTATATAATTATAAACTAACCTTAGCTGCTTAATCTTAGTTTCTATTAATAAATAAATAAATATATAAATCAAAATAGTAGTTAATTATTATTTATATTTAATTACTATTTGTTTGAATTGTAAATGTTATTTTTACATATCTATAGGTGTAGTAAAAAAGTAGAAAAATAATGTGCATGATTATTGTTAAAATAATGGAAAAAACAATTTCTGTAATAAACGCAAATACGTATAAGATTACTCATGTATAAATATGTCGGTTTAAAAAAAACAACAGAATCTATAGGAATGCCTAAAACACAAATAATACACATTTGTGTAAACAAGTAATACATTTTTTGTATTTGTCAGGTTAGGTTGCAAAACAATTACTGTTTCTATGATTCATAGCCGTACTCAAGAAATACATTTATTGCACAATGTAATATAAATAAATGCATATAATTGCCTCATTTGGTTACAGTACTTCAAAAAATAAACAAAAACTGTCGGAATGCCTTCACATATTATAAAAGTCATATCAGATCATCTGATTTAAATATTCGTTGATTTAAACTCAGTTAAGATGGTTAATAGTCTTCAGAAATAAGTATACCTTTTTTTTTTCCAATTCAGAATTGTAGACGACCCCGGACTTAGCCAATCGTCATTACTACAGGGCTGCCAACATCGTTTATTGTGACAAATGGTCGAACCTCGTTCCGCATAGTTGATGAGCCATGGCCACAATGTGCTCGGCTATCTTTCCTGACTCTTTTGCACCATCCGCCTCCGTCGTAAGCCGAGAGACCTGCGCCTAACTTTGTCTTTTTATAACTCTCCATGTTATGGTTTAAAGGGTTGTCTTAATATACTATAACTGAATATCTATCTATAATCTATCTCTTCGCTAAACTCGTCTCGGTCACTCAATAGAACTTGTGGTTCCTCTGCAAAAAAGAAAGACTCATTATCATTAACGCCATAATATTTATATAGTGGAGTGTCAATTAGATGGCTGAGCCAATCTATGATACTATAATCATCATCCAGCTCACGAGGCAGTAGGTTGACTATTGTATTTATTTCTACTGGCACGTTGATTATTTGTCCAAGAACCCCGTATTGGCCATTTCCATTATGAAGCCTTCTGATTGTCATGAACGGAAGTCTTGGCGAGACCAATCGCTCGGTGATTAAATCCAAGTCAGGCAGATGTGGTGGTCGCAACGGATACATAAAACCATTCGACTTAGCTAAAGTCGGTATTTTTAGTTTTTTAAGTGTGGCATAATAAGTACTACATACAAGAGATGATTCGATGTTAATACCAAGAAATTCACATAAAAGAATACCTTTTGAACAATGTGGAGGTTTTTTTAAATCATTATCATACCACAATAACACAATCTATCACATACACTACATACAGCACCAAAGTTATTGTTAAAGATCTCGATTTAAATTGAGTGTGAGCTTTGGAATGTATATAACATTCATCATATGAGGCGACAGTGATATATTATGAAGTTTCAATAGTAGTAGTTCTATCTTCTAATGATTGTTCAAGTTCTGATGAAGTTAATAACATTTATTGAGGCGAATGGGATATATCTGGAGGATACGTTATTGGCAATGTAGTGGAAGTACTAGTAGATGCTACTTGAGAAGTTCTGAAAATAGATTTTTGGCGCTCTTTGAATTCTTTTTGTCTCTCCGCGTTTGTTTTAGACATAGCTAAAATGTTACCAAAGGTGTTTTTTGTGTGAAACGGGATCGAAATCCAAGTTATTTATTATCTATTGGTTATTTATAGAACAATCTAGTTTTCCAATGTTTAGTTTTCTAATCAACTTATTTACTTACTGTATAAAATATGAAATTTATACTAGATAATTAAAAAATTATTTTTCTCACTACTCTCTTAAATTAATCACATCTGTCACTCCAATATCTGTGTTGTTTCCGTCAGGGTAATATACAGATTGTAAATTGTTGGTACTAGGGTAAGATGCGCGTATAGAATATTTATAATATACAGCGATCATCTACGGGCGGCGCAGCGTGGCTCGTAGTTGTCAAAAAGGCTAGCTTAGGCTAGTCTTGCCTAGTCTAGCTATCAAATGTTGTCGGTAAAGAATTCGTTATACAGCTACACGTATGGTGCGGCATTGTCCGATGTGGACATTTAACATACACCCCTGGTACCATTGGACATATATCCGAAATGTTTACTTCCGTTTACCGGTCAAATTTATATCCGCTAGCTCTACTTCCGTTGTTTACTTCCGGTGTTTGCACAAATTTACTCCTACCCAAAACATCGTACCGCGCACATCAATTACTTTTAAATATATTGGTCGCGCAATTAACAAACTAGTCTACTAGTAAACTAGTCACTTAGTCTATTAATGATTAAACCCAAAAATAACATCCAGGATTCCTAACTTAGCTTGGGTAAGTTCACCAGTGTAATCATATAAAAGAAACACAATACAAGTAATAGAACGTCTAAAATAATAATATCAATGCGGGTGTGATTTGAGAGCCAAAAATTATTCTATGAAACATATAGCTTACACACAGCTAAATAAATACATTTTGTTACAAGACGGATGAGTAAACAGATAATACCTAAATTTGTTGTGTTTATCAAGCAGCAGAACAACTACTATTGGTTTACGATTCGTAGGCTAAAGCCATGCTTATTTATTCTTGAATTGAATTTAAAAAAACATCGAACAAACAAACTACATATTCGTTTATACAACTTTTATAAGCTTTACACTGAATTCACTATAACAGAAGCCATTAAACGAAGAAGAAGCACTTAAGTTTTAAACACGGCAGAACAGTATTCGAATATTTTCGCATTTGAAAAAAAATACAAACAATAATGAATTTTAAAAATTGTGTTATGCTTTTATACTTATTTGTCCATTTGTGTACATCAAACGCAAGAATTCGCAAAAATCCACAGGTAATTTTACATTTTTTTTTTTTAATTGAAGGCACATTAGTTCTAAAACAGTAGTATTCACATTGTTTATTAAAATTAAATATTTAATATTTATAGAAATTAGCCGAACTATATAGAAGTGTTTCAGAAGAACGCCCTTTAGGTGTTTATTTGTTTGACGTAGAAAATTATATAAAAAAACCAAAGGTGCGCAAGGAATTTAGAATTTCTAGATTGGATAAAAAAAAGATACAAAACTCCCATTTTGGTACGTTGAATAATAATAACTCATTAATAGATATTGTAAAATATATACATGTGAAATGTGAATACCTTTCCGTCTCTTTTATATTTGCAACTATGCGTTATTGTTAATTTAATCTTTTGGTCATCAGTCTCGAGTCACCGAAAGCACTGCCCGCATTTATTTAAACATCATGTTACGTACATTGATGACGTGGTCATCATATAACACCTTACAGCATAATTTGGTTTGGTAATTTTTAATGTGAGTACTTTTATAATGATTTCTAGTTGGGTTTATTTCGGAAGAGCAATTTGTAGCAGTAATAACATCAAAGTTTACTTATTGGGTAATTATGATTTTTTTCTATCCTAATATATGATACATTTTTAAAAAAAATTATAATAAATACTCTATGAACCTAGTGAATAATATAATAGTAATAATTCTAGATTAATTATTTCTATAATAGTAGTTTTCACATTGTGTCTTAAAAACAGAAATTTTATGATTTTAGCAACTCGAAAAAATGTATAAAAAAATCGAAGATGCTGGAAAGTGTAATGTCCTAGTAACCAAGGAAAGAGTTAAATGGTTTTTACTGAAGAAACGACTCCTATATAGACTAAGTAAAAAGGAAATCGAAGCTATAACTAAACCAATGAAGGGTTCCAGAAAAAGTAAAACGCTTCTTCTATCTTCTTTTTCAACGAAATATGTTACAAAACTATTTTATGACAGTTAGACTGAATTTAATTTATATTGGAATATTAATTTAATGACATTGCTCATGATGTATTTTTTATACACGATTTTCAATGATTTAAAAACCAAGCAAGTGGACAGACACAATTATTGATTCTATATGTCTTTCATAATACCCATTATTTGGCCATTGTACATAAAAAGGCAATAATAATAATTGCAACCACCCAAACTGTTACAGCATTTTATAGGTTGATCAATTTTAATGTGAATACTTTTTAAATGATTTCTAGATGATGCTATGAAATTTAGCGAGTTTTATAATTTTATGGTTTTCAAAGAAAATCATTTCTTATATGCATATATATAACACCAGCCGGTGGTAGATTTAAACGTTTACAGGACCCAGGCAAGTAATATGTTCACTCTCAGCCTTTTTTTGTTTCTTCCCCAACTGAAGGATATTACATTTTATATCATTTTACATATTGCATTGTAAATTTGTTTTTATATCAATATTTCAGGGCTATAAATTTACTACAACATTCTATTGCCGTTCGCTGTAGTCAAAAAGTCAAATTTATTAAAGTATTCAATTAAGTTTATTTAAATAAAAATTCAAGGTTTATGTATTAATTCTTAAAACTCTAAGGGGTGTGTGTTTTTTTTTGTTTTAATCAGTTATATGGGTATTTTGTAAATGTTATTATTAAAATGTTAAATAACTTGTTTTCTGCATATTATAATTATAAACTAACCTTAGCTGCTTAATCTTAGTTTCTATTAATAAATAAATAAATATATAAATCAAAATAGTAGTTAATTATTATTTATATTTAATTACTATTTGTTTGAATTGTAAATGTTATTTTTACATATCTATAAGTGTAGTAAAAAAGTAGAAAAATAATGTGCATGATTATTGTTAAAATAATGGAAAAAACAATTTTTGTAATAAACGCAAATACGTATAAGATTACTCATGTATAAATATGTCGGTTTAAAAAAAACAACAGAATCTATAGGAATGCCTAAAACACAAATAATACACATTTGTGTAAACAAGTAATACATTTTTTGTATTTGTCAGGTTAGGTTGCAAAACAATTACTGTTTCTATGATTCGTAGCCGTACTCAAGAAATACATTTATTGCACAATG